GAAGGAAGGAAGGAAGGAAGGAAGGAAGGAAGGAAGGAAGGAAGGAAAGGAGTGTCAATCCTCCAGACTTTCCAAAGCAGCCTCACCATCTGTTCCCATCTCACTCCTGGGGGACATGAGATGTGATACTTGGTAATGAGATCCTGTTTCCCCTGTCAAGTTGTAATTGCGAAGCCATTCTAAGCCCTCCGCCTTGGAAGCCTGCTTATCCTATGGTCACACCTTGCATTGTCCACACGGATGACATAATTGGTGCGAAGCGGCTTGGCTCCTCTTCACCCACTAGGACATTTTTCCGCTGCAAAAGCATTCATTAAAAGTGATGGAGACTAAACTTCAGAAATGCTTCACTAACTCCTCCAATCTTTTCTTTCAAAACAGGCTCTGAATTATACTCGGGGGAGTGAAAATGCCAGTAGCATTGTGGGAGAGGCCACCCGCTTGAAGGTCAAGCAACACGACACATGTCAAATTCAGGATAGACCTAGAAGGGACCTTTGAAGTCATCTAGTCCAACCCCCTGCTCAAGCAGGAAACCCTAGACTATTTTAGACAAGGGGCTGTTCAGTCTCTTCTTAAAAACCTCCAGTGATGGAGCAGGCACAACCTCTGGAGGCAAGGAGTTCCACTGGTTAATGGTTCTCACTGTTAGAAAATTTCTCCTTAATTCCAGGTTGCTTCTCTCCTGGATTAGTTTACACCCATTTTTTCTTGTCTTGCCTTTTGGTGGTTTGGTAAATAATTTGACCTCCTCTTTTTTGTGGCAGCCCCTCAAATATTGGAATACTGCTATCCTGTCACCCCTGGTATTTCTTTCCTTTAGACCGGCCATACCCAAATCCTGCAACCATTCTGTTCTGTATTAACATAGTCTAAAAGGTAAATTCTGATTGGTCCACACGAACTGCATTCTGATTGGCCTACTCAACAACCGTCATTGGCTTACTTAGAATCGACCGCGATTGGCCAAGCCGATCATGGGAGATTCAAAGTACTTGTCATTGGCCGGCGAGCCGCGAGCAATCCCTATATGAAGGGCTGCTGGGGCTCCAAGATCTTGTACAGGTCTATAAAATGAAATAAAGAGCTTGAAGTACACTGGTCTCGTGTCTCGGACTGGAACTGATCTACCCAATCTAACACATTCTTCCTATGTTTTAGTCTCCAGGCCTTTAATCGTCTTAGTTGCTCTTCGGTGCACTTTTTCT